TCTTTTGGCTTATTAGCTAAGGCTCATTGCTTTGGAAAAGGAATAGTTTTGTGCATACTACTAAAACACATCTTGTTCTGGTACCATACCTAATTGGCAGAACGCATCGGACCTTAATTTTAGTGTTTTGCTAGAAGGAGATACACATTACAATCACCCATTTCTTGTATGCCTTAACATCAATGACATCGCAAACCTTTAAAAGAAGCGTAATATCGTGATATCTTTATAGCACGATAAACCGCATAAAGGGAGGCTGAGAACACAGGCTTCCCGCGATTGCAACTGCGAAGACGTAACGAGCATATAATCGCATATACACCCTTAGTTTTCAATGTTCAGTTTTCAGCAGTAGAATGCCATGTTTTGGGGCCAGCAGCAATGTTCAAGAATCAAAGTGGGTACTAGCTTTTCAAATAACAAAATTCCTTTACCATATGACGCAGATCAACATACCTAAGAATCGGATTAACCATCAATGATAGTTTAACAAAATTCTATGGTATAAATGATTATATTTGCCATTGCCAACTTTACATTAAATACTTCAAATTCAATGAATTACGCTTACTTTATTATTGCACTGTAGTTTGTTTTTCTTCAGATGTTTTCTTTGTGTATATTGGACTAGAGATGCTATGTCTAATCTTTACTCTCCCTATAAGTCAATACATCGGTGAACTAATAGTCGGTCTCAACGTTAGGAGAAAGATATGGAGCGGGATAATCTTCAGGCTTCCTCCATGACAAAGCAATAGGGTCGTTTGGACGAACAACGTCGTAGTAACCGCGGTAGTACGGCTTCCCTCCTTCCGTTCCATATTTACTGAGTTTGTAGATGGCAATAATCACCCCAGCTAACCCAAACGTAGAATACATGATAGTTTGCTCGGGATATTCTTTTATGAGCATGTGGGGAAGAGCCTTCCAGAATCTGATAAATCTCGTTGTACGAGACACGTGATACATCGGCATGGTGACAGCGCCTCTGCAAAAATGAGCATTTCATTCTTAGATAATGAGAAGAAAAATGAATGTGAATATAGAGAAACAATCTCATTGCCTTACGACTGTGAAAATACATAATCTCTTGTACCTAACTTTGGCTCTGAGGTATGGATATCGCTAGTAACATGAGCAGAGAAAAAGCTGACTAACATTTTTATGATTTACGGTAACGATTAACATGAAAATAGGTAAGTAAACCGTAAAAATTTATGTTTTCAAACTTCCTGGGAAGTAAGACATTAATATTATCTAACTCAAAAACTGGGTGATACATCAGACTCAAATAATTATGCAAGTTACGACATCAAATACATACCCAGATTTTACATAACGAATAATTCAAAAATGCTTTAGCAATTCTGAGGAAATGACCGCACCGCACTTTCCATACCTTAGACGCTGATTACATTATGTGTGTTTCGAAAATAGTAGTGCAATCATTAATAATTTTATCCATAAACCATTTCGACCTCCAATGAATCTTAGCATCGTTATATACTTCTTTTAGTGTTTAGCCGTAACCAAGATAACGTATAACGGTTT